AAAAAAAAAAAAAAAAAAAAAAAAATCAAAGAAAGAATTCAAGGAATTTCTAGAAATGGTTGGATGGTGTCACCTGTGGATACCTAACCTTGGAAGAATTGGCACATGATTGTTTACAAACAGGTGTAGTACAGTCTTTTTGACCAGGAACGATTTACTAATGGAAACAGATTTGCTATGAAGGAAAAACGGAAGGCTGGGTAAGCCACAGTCACAGTAGAAAAGGCAATGAAGGCAAAACAGTTATCAGTAAACATCCACTCTGAAGGCTGAATTGCTTTAACTTGAGCCCTGGAATTATAAGAAGGAAAGCTGTCTAATGTCTACTAACTCAAAATATACTTTTAGACTAACATGTGCTCACAGTGCAACTTAGAAACAAAGAAAGATTGTAATCTTCACAAGGAATCCTATGAAATGTGGTATAGAGACTAAGAGATTACTTGAGGCAATGAAGAAACACGAAGAAAAAGCAGTGATATACTTCACAACACATCAGACAAACTGATATAGTTAGAGGGAACAGAAAAGAATTTCTCTATAAACAATGTCAGCAAACTTGTCTCAGAAAGAACTCAGAAAAAAAATTCAAATCCCTAAATGTACAGAAAGAAAAAAACAACTTGGTAAAAAAAAGTGCATAAAGATTGCCAAAGGATTGTGGGTAACTTCACTTGGACAATGTGTTGAAATTCCATAAATAATGAAGGAATTAATTGAGTGAACTCTTAAGTGTGTGCATATACGAACTGAAGCTTCAAAGAAGATATTAAATAAATACACTGTAGGAAATAATATGGTGCTGATTGCTAAGACTGTTTATACAGTGAAGTGGAATTACAAAAAAATAAATCTTAAAATCCAAAGACCTCCTTCTGGGAAGATGAAGAGAAGTTTCACGCCTGGGGAACTCCGGCAAACTGATTTTTCCAAATCAGTTTATCACTGTAATGAATATAGATACTTGTTACTAATTGTTGATACTTTTTCAGGCTGGCCTGAAATTTTCCCATGTCAAAGCAGTATGGCAAGAGAAGTAATAAAGATTTTGTTAAAAGAAATTATACTAAGATTTGGCAATACCAGGAGATAGAAGATTTTCAGATAGAGGACCTCATTTCATTCCAGAAATAGCAAAGAGGTGCCAAGATTTTTAGAAATTAATGTGGAATTTATATATCCCATAGAGGCTGCAGTTTAGCGGAGATATAGAAAAGATGAATCAGGCAATGAAGATGCAACATAGAATATTGTGTCAGGAAGTCCAGAAGAAGTGGATTAAGCTTTATTAAGAGTTAGAATAATCTCTAGAGTTACAGAAGGAAATTGTTCATTAAATTTTAAAAATTTGCATAGGAAACATTATACTCTAAATTTAACAGGGCAGGAAACAAATGCATCTTAAGGAATATCAGGTTTTCAGTGATTACCTGGCATATTTGCAAAGAATTCTTGCATGTCCCTAGAGGTACAGCCAACTGAGAGCTCTTCTGCCTTTGATCTCACTCATATCTCTATTTAAGTCAGCAGGTCCAGTGTATCCTCCTGAAAAGAAAAGCTGCCAACACAAAAAATGGAAGGGACTTCACACTGTACTACTGTCAACAAACCAGAACTTTACATGAGATTCAGAAAGATGATACCTCTCTTGGATTTGAAGAGACATACAAATTTCTGACATTCTGATTTTCTTATCTAGGAGTATGGAATGTCATTGCAGTTGAATTTCTAGTAATATCAGCTATTGTCTGTCTGTATGTTATATTGCAGTATGTATCTGAGTGTTGCATTAGACTAACAAACTAAACACAGAAAAAATGAGACTAATCAAACCTTTCTGAAAAGAGAAGTCTCAAGGGAAGGAACTGTTAAAAAATAACTTAAAATACTTAGCTAAACATGTTTGAATAATACAAATAATACAAACAATTTGCACCTTGTAATTCATTTGTGTTAAAATACTTAGTATATTTAATTAAGAACAACCCAGAGTAAATAAGCTCCAAGGAGAAAAATAATCAGGATGTTGGCAACTTAAAAAACAAAAAAAGAAAAAAGAAAAATCAAGGTCCCTGCAGCCTCAGCTAAACTCCCTTCATTATAATACTAAAAATCATGGCCATGGGTCAAAAAAACCTTGAGACAGTGAAGAAACTTCCTCTGACCATGAGAACAAGAAGAAGTACTAAGCAAAAGTATTTTTATTGCACGCAAACTACTAAGATATCAATCATAAGAGGTTCAGATGGAAAGAAAAAAAAAAAAAAAAAAAAAAAAAAAACCTTTACCAAATTTGTCCATAGAAGAGTTTCATTGCGTCATATCCACTGGGGGGGCGGGGGGGTGGAGAGGGAAGTACAAATTACAATTCAGCAATATTAAAACAAAAAAATCTCAATTTAAATCAGAAATTACTAAGTTATTGAAGAGCAGAAGATAAAAACTGATGTAAAAAAAAAAAAAAAAAAAAACAGAAAAAAAAAAAGGAAATCAGAGTAAACAAACTACTCTGGGGACCTTACCTGTCTACTAGGTTGAACACAAATGATAACAGAAAAGTGAAGAAGAGCAATCAGGATGTACAAATCAAATGTAAGTATATCCACAAAGAAGCATAGCTATGGAAGTTATAAGGTAAAAATAACAGCCTCAGGGCCTTTAACCGTCATTGCAAAATGACTGAAGCATAATGACAGCTGCAGAATATGACTCCACAATGATTTAATATAAACATGTGAATTCTCACGCAGTTACGTCACTGGTTCTTAACCATAACTCACATGAGAAGCAAGAATAAGCAGTTCTTTGCTATTATAAATTCCACAATTAGCCAGCATCAGCACCGGCAAAAGGAAAACAACCGCAGCTCATCACTTCTAAAGGCACTGATCTCACTGACAATAAGCCTCCGTTCAGAACCACGGAGAATGTCCGGGACGGTGACTTTGGTACGGCTAGAATAAGATCATACTCCTTTCACGTCACGCACAGCAAGAAAAGAGGGCCTAGAGAAGAAGGAGCTGTTCACGCCGGCTGTGAGGGCCTCATCTTCCCAGCAAGCTGCTACGCGTGGTTAGCCCTGCTTGCCAGAAAGCAGCCGAGGCTCTGTCTATCTGCCTGCCTAGGGGAAGCTGCAGAAGAATTCCTTGGTTTGCTTTGCTTGTGCGTGCGGCTTTTCTTCCACCTGCCAGAACGCCTTTCTCTAACCCCCTGAATTCTCACACGCTTACCTTGCCAGCTCTCCCCCATAACACACCCACGTGGGCAGCGACAGCAAGCAGCTGTCTGGTGCTTAGCTCTCTGCCAGGTGAAACCACAACAAGGACACAGTTGCCAGCGTGCAGAAATTAGACCCGTGTGTATCTTCCTAAAAGTGCATGTCTGGAAAGGATAAGACGTTCCCCAACTAGACTGCCCTCGGGGCCTTTCAGCCACGTTCTTACACTGCGGGCTCTGCATTTTTGTGGCGGCAGGAGTCAACCCCGCATTTTCAGTAGCGGCTTTGAGCCACAGAAGGCAAGGTTAGCCACTCACGTGTCCCTGCTGAAACACCTGGGGACATGTCGCTCACTCGGAACGCTGAAAAAAAGACGGAGGCACCAGCCGGACCGCATAAAGACAGTCACGACGTGCACTCGCTCTCTGCGGTTCCCAGCCGAAGGCAGAAACCGCCCCCCTTGGGGTCTCCAAAGGAGCAAAGAACTACTCTCCAAAGCTCTCTGTCAGCCGCTTTCCCACTCCCAGAATTTACTCTTTCAAGGGCTTTGACTAAGCGTGGTGCGCAGCAGAGCGCTTCTTACCAATTGACCGGGCAAATACTGACAACTCTGGCATGCAGAGCCGACGCTGCTGCGCCTGCAGCTGCTCCACGGACCCCCGCCTCTGCCCAGCCACGCCGCCCGGTCACCAGCTGCCAGCGCTGCGCACAATGCGTGCCGGGATGGAAAAAGTGCCGCGGGTGAAGGACTGGACCTGCTGCCAATTGGCTAGAGCCCGGAAGTAGGTGGGGCCAGAACCGGAACTCCCTCCCACCTACCTACATAGGGAGGCGCCATTTTGTCGTAGTCCGTGTTCCACCCTGGGGAGCCGCCATTTCATGTTACTCCGTACCCCACGTGGTTTTGTACTGCTTAGGGCTCGGCTCCCTGGCTCGTTCCTTAACTCTTTCGTATTCCCAGGCCTCCCTCTGACTGCCTGCCCAATTCCCTTGCTCCGGGAAGCGCTCACATGAAAAAAAACTGATCCATTCCTACACAGTCGCAGCAGGCAAACACGTCCCGGTGCTGGCACTGGTGGCTGTCTCGTGTCTGACGCGGGGTTTCTGGAGACCAGCGGCACTAGGGGCACTTTGATCCCAGCTAACAACTCTGCCAGCTCCACTTCTCATTTGGCAATAGCGACCCGCTCGCACCTCCCACGTGAGGGTCTGATGGGAAATCCCTCGCCCTTCCCGTGCGCAGCCTCTAGCCCTCTGCTAAGTCACCGATAACCAAGGGCAGTCCCCGCCAGAGGGCCCCAGTCATTTCAGCCTAGCGTTTGATACAGCCATGGAAGAAGCAGCCGTCACGTTCAGGAGCTCTCGGCACGCCACCAGTGACAGCAGAGCGCTGCAAGAGCAAGGCTCTCCTTGATATTCCACTCCTTGTCACGCGTAAGCACGTTCCAGGCTCCTGGGCCCAAATATTGAGCTAGGCACTCCTCTGCTTCAGGAAGCGACTGACAAAAGGCGTAAAGCAGGCTCTCCTGCTGCACCCCTCTGTCACTGCTCCCAACACAAGTGGTCTCAACACACAGAGAACCGGCTGTGCAGCAGACTTCAGGGCCTGCAAAGGACTCCCTGCAAAACGCTCACAGCCACAGCCCTTTCTTCCCTGCTCTCTTAACAGGCCAGCAGCGTGACTTACACTTTGACACAGCCTGCACAATTCCTTCTCTTGGGAAAGCACTGCACCTCTCTTCCAATACACGCAACAAAAACTCTGCTCTCTCAATCCTGCTTCCACAACCTGGTTTCTGGCAATTCCACAATTAGCCAGCATCAGCACCGGCAAAAGGAAAACAACCG